ATGCATTTCCTCGCCTTGGATACCGCGGCATGTAGTCAGTATATTCTATGATTTCACAGAAGTAAATCTATGTGGACCCAAAGTCTTGGCAATGCAAGTTTATGTGAATGTTTACAGTCAGCAGTGTGTGTTGCTAACAGCATGCTAGCTCTTATAACAATTTCCCGCCTCTGTGCTAATTTGATGCTAATTCATCGAAAAACATTCATTAAAGTGAGCACACGGCATCTTTAAATTCAGTTTTCTGGATGCTGAACTTGAATTTGTTTTCCGAGGATTTATTGATCCTTTGTCTATGAGATAGCTTTGTGTTTGGTTATTATTTGGGTTAAACCCCCATTTAAATAATGAAATTGAAGTTATGGATGTGTTTCATTTTTTTGTAATCTTGTGTGCTTTTACTGCAGTGGAATGTTAATCTGTCTTCTTTTTTTTTTTAAACTTTCCATTTTTTAAGTGACAGGTATTTTTTATTTTATTACCGTGTCTGGGAGGTCCCAAAAACTCCCTTTGAATATTAGAGATACTCCTCTGCTACTGATATTCACAGCTAGTATTTGTGAGGAAGTTTTATGACTCAACACGGCCACATCTATCAGATATGTTCTTTTGAAAAACACCATCTTTGGCTCTGCAGTGTGAACTAGCTCACAGCCAGCTTAAAAAGCTAATTTTGCATTTTAGCAGCACAATCATTTAATATTTGTTTTGGTGAAAAATTACTCATTAACTTGCATTCACCACTTGATGTATAAACAGGGGGTTCAAATTGTTATATTGACACTTACTTCTAATAAGTAAAATCCTTTATTTTAGTACTGCACTGAAAAAATAACAACAGAAAACAAAAACCTGTCCACATGTGACGACCATCCTGAGATCTTAGATTTATGTTCAGGCAGTAAAACACCCTCTAATATGCAGACTGGGAGCCCGTGGCCCAGTTAGTCTTCCTCCTCCTTGTCCCTGAACGCCCCGTGGAGCCACCACAGAGCCTCGGCTTGTTTTAAGGCAATTTATTGGAGCCTTAGTTTCAGTGATGTCACCCTCATTCATATGGAAATGGATAAAAGGACACGAGGACGCTGATCCAAGATGACCTCTGGAGCTCCATCGCCGGGCAACCAACATAGTAACCAGCATGGTAACCAGCTGTGGTCCATTTACTTTACAACACGGTATCCATTCATTAAAAAGCCCAGCTGAGCTGCTGCTGACTGAACTGCAGCTTCTAATTCACGGGGAGTTTCCAGACTCTCCAAAAGATGAAGTGAATAATACAAAGATATATTTTTTTAGGATCTAAGAGCCTTAAATCAGAGAGCAGCAGGGTCTCTACCCCTCAACTGTGGTTTTCTTATCAGTGCAGGTTGTTGAAGGGATGTTTGATAACCTGGAGTCGGCTGTTACTGGTCGCCATCTTCGTGTTTTAGAAAGTTTTGTTCAGCCAAGAGGGTGGAGCTGAGGAAGCTTGTTGAAGTAGTAATCAAGGCTGGACACCACCACAAGATTAGTCAGAATAAACTATATTTATTGTAAAATAAGCACATAAACTGACCAAAGCAACCCAGAATTAACAGAAGCAACGTTGGCTTTTAACTCAGGCTCTTTCAAACGAGCTCCTCTTTTAGTTTCTTCCTCCATTTTCTGTAACTGCTTCTCATTATGAAGCTTTTTTTGTCATTAACAGCTAAGTGACGTATGTAGACTGCAAGAGTTTTAGGACAAGTTACCCTTATTTCATCCCTACTGATGACTGGAGGAGAAATCTGCTCTGGGATCTTTGTCTCAATCAATCGTCAAATAATTTGGTAATGTTTACGGATCCATTCTGAAACCTCCTGAACTGGTCATTGGGATTGATGAGTACAGGTTATAATCTTGATGATTGTAATTACTGGTTTCCAAGCAACGCTATACATTCTAGCCCCTGAAGCAAATGTTAGCTATTAACCCTTTGATCAGCAAGCGGTTTCTGGGCTTTTTTTTATGAGTGAAGTCCTGCACCTCTATGGAAACAGCACAACCATGACTAGATGTAGAGAGAACTATGTACGTATGTATTACATTGGTGAGATTCTCCAGTGTTGAAACATTTAGTTTTCATTCGTTTTGGCCAACTGGTCTGTAGCTTCATAAAGGTGTGTTTGACAAGATATGAAAGGTTTGTGCTGATTAGCAGAGTTTTTGCATAAAGCGTGTCCAAATTATTGTAATTCCAGTATGATCAACTGCAACCGAGCACAAAATGAGCAATGTGAGTCTCAGTTTAGATTCGGCTTCATGCTAAACAAAGAACATTTTCAGAAACGAGAAGCTTCATACGTGCATTTTGGTTTAACAGGAACTTTGTTGTATACGTTTCAACTTGACAGACAACAATTCTGTAAAAGGAGGTGCATGCTAAGTGGTTAAGGGGTTAATTTAGGGGACCACATGTAAAGCCCTAATTGCAAGCAGGCCAACGTAGTGTTACAAAACAAAATGAAAATAATAAAGGGATGATTTCAGCTGGACAACAGGCCTCAACAGAAAGTGACTCAGATGAGACTTTAACATATCCGATGCCACCACGGGATTACTGAACATAAACAGCGCTCACTGCAAAAAATGAAAATAACTCACAAATCGCACGAAGGTGGTTGGAGACCGCCTGGTGCAGATGCAGTGGCCTCTCTTTCGATATTAAATAAGAATCTTAGGACAGGCAGAATAACAAGAAAACACTGAATTGCCAACAGGACAAAGAGGACTTCTGAGGCTCCCCATGTCTGAGAGATAACAGCACGGCTGTACAAAGCCAAATATGAAGTTTGCTTCATGATCACTTCTGGATACAACCAAAGAATAAGCAGTGCCTGGTGTGTGAACACTGGTGTCTATAGTCTATCTATTAAACAAAACTAAAGTCTGTATCATACAAATGCAGCTCTCAGATTTATTAGCAGTTGGTGAACTACAGATATGGGAAATGCAGGAAATACAGGTGTTGTTTTGTAGTTTGCTATTGTCACATTTTTACTCACTGTGGGTTAATTTTTCACTGTGATATAAAATCCTGAACCTCTATGGAAACATCACAACCATGACTAGAAGTGGAGAGAACTCAGAAAGCCTTATGCGCCGTATGACACAGTTATGATGGCATAAATCACTGAACAACAATAATTCAAGTTGGGTTTTTTTTTGTTATTTATGGAACAAAAAAAATGAAAGGGGACAATAAAAATGGTCTACAGACTACATTTTTACATTTTTAATTTGTTTCCGCATTTGTCTCCATTCTGCTTCATGTAAACACAGCCTGCAGTTCAGCCAAAATTGAATTTATGTGACTGTTGATTGCAGCCGAGTCGCTAATCGCTTCACAGTTTGCAAAGAGGACTGTCATTTTTTTCCCCTTTTTTTATGGAATACAGAGTAAATTACACAATTTTTGTGAACTTTTAAAGGAGACATAGAAAAAAGTGATTTTAAACTACTTAAACTAAGGTCCAGATCAGCTGCAGTTTAAAGACTTTCAGTAAATTCCCTCGGGTTTGTTTGTGTTTTGCTTCAGTAAAGTTTGATTTTGGAAACACAAAAAAGGATAAAGAAACAGCAGCAGTGTGTGTCCATGCCGACACACATGTGGGTGCTCAGCAAACTGAACAGTGTTTCCACCCAGTCTCATCACATTGTGGTTGTTTTTGTTGAAGTCGAGTCAAAAACCAGAAAAGGTAATGGAGTTAATTAGCAGCCGTCAGCGCGGGAGGAAACTTCTTCCACTGGTCAGTGAATAACTCACATTTCAACCGGATCATTTTTAAGCGCTGATGTGCTGCTGTTGTAAAATTCAGACTCTGAGGAAGCCCTGAGGGGAGATTAGACATCATTACAACAAGAAGTGCACCTTTTTTAACCTGTGCAAGACGAGTAAGAAGAAGATTTTTCCAGCAGCCATCAAAAATGTGTGTCACAGCAAACAAATCAAGTCTGTTTTTAAGGCCTCATATAAGTCTTAAACTCTTTATAATTTAAATTCCAGTTTAAAAACATGTAATCGTCTCCTCACTGCAAGATTATTTTAATTGCATAAATCAAACGTATATTTACAAATGTAATGAGTTAAAGCAGCTGGTGTCTAGACAGACACAATGTAAATTTTACAGAGAAAACTCATTGGACTGTTCAGGGCTGTGCATAAAAGCACATTGAGGTGCTAAAAATGGCTCTATTTTCCTCCAAAGATGACAAATTAAAGATGATGTGAAATTGGAAGTATTTTGTGAAGTGTCATTTTGGAAATACTTGTTCGTTGTCAGCTTCTAGTAATGGCTGTTGTGTTGCAACGATTAATTGATTAGCTGTTAGCTATTGGTATTGTTTATTGTTTTAAATATTTTTGAAGCAAAAAAGTCAAAATTCTCTGATTGCAGCAACTTAAATGTGAATATTTCTGTTTGTACTTGGAAGCAGAATATGTTTCAATGATTCCTGGACAAATTTAAAAATTACCCTTGTGATATTTCAAGTCGGCACCCAAAGAGGTCACAGTATTGTTGACGTTGATGTTTCTCAGCTGCACTAGCATTTTAAGTTTGTCTTGAAAACTTTATACCATAAGGCTTGAGGAGTGGCCTGTTCATCAGTACTTTGTCTTTCTGTTTCTGTTGCAATATAGGATCCAAAAGCTTCGACCGTGACGTTAATGCTGAGTGCACCAAAGCAATGACAAATAGCAGTTACTGGATGTAACGTTCTGAACTGCATCTAGAGATATAGCATTAATTTCTCTGGATGTGCATGAGATATGCAACACTTCTAAGTGATGGGAATCACAAGACACCTAAAAAATAAAATCACATGTCACAGACCTTGACTGCATTGTACCACCACAAGTCTGTCTTTAGCAGATGCTCCATGTACAGTAAATATGCTTGTAGCACACCTCGTCCATGATGCAGGTGTCTCTGCAGTATTTTACTGACTGTACTTCGTCTTCTGTCTCGATCCAACAGAAGGAGAGCGACCAGCAGATAACTGTGCAGGTGGAGGGCAGCCTGACCACCTTCACCCAGACAGGCCTGGCAGCCGGCCAGGAGTACAGTGTCAGCATCGTCGGGGAGGTTGACGGCAGGAGGGGATCCGAAATCTCCACCGAGTTCATGACCCGTGAGATTTGATCCTTTATTTTTTTTTATTATTGAAGACAACAAACACCTCTGAATATCTCTTCTTCTCCAGCTGGAAATGTTCGGGAGACTTAGGCCAAATCATAAGGATGAGACTGAAATAGAATTTTAAGCACTTTGTTTTCTATCTTGTGATCAGTGTTTGTCATTAACCTCGTGGATTAACCTCAGGGGAGGTATGTTGCTGGATGCTTTGTCCATTTTCTATCGATGTCCATCCATCATCTATACACCGCTTAATCCTCACGAGGGTCATGGGGGGCTGGACTTCACTCAGGGTGAAGGCAGGGGACACCCTGGACAGGTCACCAGTCTATCACAGGGCTACACTTAGAGACAGACAACCAAGCACACTCACATTCACACCTACGGACAATTTAGAATCACCAATTAACCTCAACATGTTTTTGGACTGTGTGGGAGGAAGAACTCCACGCTGCACAGGGAGAACATGCAAACTCCACGCAGAAAGATCCCGATGTTCTCATTGGGATGAGAACCGGCGACCTTCTAGCTGCGAGGCAACGGTACTAACCACCGAGTCACCTTGCAGCCCTGGATGCTTTGTGATGCTCTAAATAGCTGTTTAACCCTTCAAACTCCAAGCAGTATCTAGGCGGTTTTGTTCCTCTCACATTTTTACTTATTGTGGGCTCATTTTCACTACAATATACAGTCCAGCTCATGTACAGAAACAGTACAACCATGACTAGAAGTAAAGAAAACTACTACTAGCTGCAAGGTGGCTTGGTGGTTAGGACCGTTGCCTCGCAGCTAGAATGGCCACAGTTCGCATCCCGGTGAGGACACCCAGGATCTTTCTGCGTGGAGTTAGCTTGTTCTCCCCATGCAGCGTGGGTTCTCTCTGGGTTCTCTGGCACAAAGTTCAAAAACATGTTGAGGTTAATTGGTGATTCTAAATTGTCTGTGGGTGTGAATGTGGGTGTGCTTGGTTGTCTGTCTCTAAGTGTAGCCCTGCGATGGACTGGCGACCTGTCCAGGGTGTCCCCTGCCTTCACCCTAAGTCAGCTGGGATAGACTCCAGCCCCCCACGACCCTAGTGAGGATTAAGGTGTATGGATAATGGATGGATGGATGGATGGATGGATGAAAAAACATGATATGAACATGTAGAATTGTTTGTTTTTTTGCAGAATCTGTTTGGAGCAAATGCTTTATTTGTGAAATTTATTTTTTGAGAGTAATATGATTTTGATGAAATATCACATTTGTAAGCTTGGATTTGGTTAATTGTACCAACAGAATGGCATGTCACAGATAAGTAGTTTATGATAAATTATATAAGTTTGGTGATTTAATTTTAAAGATAACATGTCTTTCTAACCTGTTGACAGGTTTTGGGGTTCAGAGGGTTAAGAGGCTGTCCTGCATTTCTGAAATCATTCTTTAAATAACGAAACATTTTGGCATCAATTGATGCACTGAAAAAGACATCAGCCATAACAGATAGTGAAATCTGACTGAAAATGCAGTTGTTGTTCTTCTGCTGTGTAAATGTGGAATCTGGAGAGTGCTGCTTAGAAAAAGGAGCTTCTGACCAACGTACTGGCACATTTAAGCAGCTCAAATTGCCAAACTGGCAGTGAGAGTTTAAACATTTCTCTCCTGCTGCCCTTCCTGTGAAAGATGTAATCTGTGGCAGCTGCAGGGAAGCTGCTCAGCAGCCGATGGTGAAGAGGAAGGCGGAGGCTGCAGGAACGTAGCTGTGAGTTTATAGGAAAGTAAAGAGTGAGAGGAAATTTGTTAAGCCAAATTTGCAGGGTAAACTGAATAAGTCACTCCTGAAGCTACGTGGTAGATTAGAAACAGTAAAGACTGTAAATGCTGTCTCTTGCCTTCTTCATCTCTAGTCATCTCCGGTCCAACCAACCTCCAAGTTGTCAAAACGACTTCCACGTCTGCAGTGGTCCAATGGGAGCAGTCGCAGGGTGAGATTGATAAGTATCTGTTGACCATCACACCCAACGATGGAGCAGGGAGGAGTCAAGAGATGACCATCTCCGCTGGTCAAAACTCTGCCCATATTCAGAAGCTGGAGGCGGGACGTTTGTATGACGTCATACTTGTGGCAGAGAAAGGCTCGAGCCGGAGTGAACCAGTAACCACCCAGGCAGTTCCTGGTGAGTAGGACCAAAGACAAGCTCTGTCTCACTCAGTCTCACTCAATTAAAGGCCCGATAAGTCTACGGCAACATAGTTTTTAGTTAGAAGTTATCCCGCAGCTCGTCTGAAAATGTATGAACTCAACAAATTTGGAGACGGATGGTTTCATAGAACAGTTTTGGCAAAGCTGTGAAGGAAAAAAGTTAAAATGGGACAAAGAGAAAGAGATTATCATGATATCATGCTTAGATTTTTTTTATTGCAAAGTGAGAGCATGTCAAATGCTTCTTGTCCAGGCTGTAGTCAGGTGAGAACCGCACTGGTCCTGCTAAGTAAACCTTTATGTGTCCAGACACCTCATTATTCACTGCAACACATCATATAAAATGCATTACCGTGTGGAGAAAGTTCACTGTGAAAGTTAATGAAGCCATGTGCTACCCCAACCCCCCAGAAGGACACATTCCTTCATCTGCTGCTGAGCTCGGTCCTGATATTTCCTTCTCAACACCAAGTTCATCCAAGCAAAACATTAATAATGTTTCAATTTTCTCCTTACAGGTTCGACATTGATGCTGCTGGCCAGAGCTGTTTGTTTGCTTTTTCATAATAACTGACAAACTAAATTATAAATCAGGTTTCCTTTAAAGTATATTAAATATTAAAACTGTTTTTCTTCCTTTGTTAGATATGACCTCTTCTGGATTAGCAACAACAGCAGATTATGGTGACTTTAACATTTAATCCAAATGCTCACTCCCTTCATATCTTTAGGACAGTGGGAACCAAGGGTTACTACAGCTGCTTTGACCATGCAGAGCATACAAGATGTTGGTGGCATCAATCAAGGGCTGAACCCTTCACCTGAGGGGCAAGTATTTGACCAAGAGAGGAGGACGGAGTCCTCTGGTTCAGCAAAAGTCCGAGATTTCGGTGTCCCTGACTCTTCCATATCTGTGGTTGCCAGAACTAAACCTCTAGTCCACAAAATGATGGCAATAAATGGCACGAGAACCAAATTAGAGGGAAGACCCACCTTGCCCAGGAAGCTAAAGGTCCCAGGCCCTTTGCGTTTCAATGCAACCAGAGTTGTGCCTGGAGGGAGGAGGATCTTCCCTGGCCCTTTGAAAAAAGCCCCAGCAGTGACGAAGAAGGAGCTGACAGTACGCAAAAAACCTGGACCAGGTGTCTCCACCACTGAAGACTCCGTGAATGTAAAAGAATCAAGCTCTGAGGGGCATGATGATAAAAATCCAACTATGACGCCTGGGACTGATTCAGAAACAAACAGCTCAGAGGAACCAACTCCTGCTGTTGGCTCCAAAGAGCAACCAGATGTTGGCATGGCAAGCCATGGAAGCGATGCTGATACAGCGTCCCCAGGGCTGACTGGGACCATTCAGAGCCAAGAAAAGAAATGTATGAACAAAATCAAAGTGACACACATCAGATTGCCCCTAAAGGACAGAGGCAGTGGATGTAGAGGGGACGGGAAAGGGCTGGCAAGAAACACATTAAACTCAAATCCAGGTTCCCCCATTTCAAGTGATATACCCGCTCCTGGAGAGACAGACCTCGACTATTCACCAGATCCCTTACATACACTCCTGACAGACACTTTCAAGGGTTTGAATATCACAACGTTTTCTGTTCACCTGTCCAAACCATCAGATGTTTCAGTTGATGAGGAAACGGTGAGGACGCAGATTTTAAGGGGATTAAAACCACTGCCATCACTCTCCTCCTCATCATCCTTATCAACCTCAGAATCATCATCACCTACAAATTCATCATCATCATCTTTAACGTCACTGGTTTCTTCTGCATCAACAGAAGCACCATCAGCCTCACGTACATATTTAATTGCATCATCACTGCCGCCGCCACCACCATCATCTTCCAGCTCAGATAAAATCGACCCCCTTGGGAGCAATGAGCTAGATGTTGATAACAGTAAAAGTACCACTGACTCTGTATCACCTGAAGACAGAAGACTACCACCATCAGGAAAGGATCGGGTACCTCTTCTCCACCACACCCCTCTAAAACGTGGATACATACGTCGTCCACATCAAAACACTGGGCAATTTCAGAATAAAACCAATCTAAATTTGAGAATTCCTCACCGCTCCCCTCCTCGTTTTGTCCCTGTCCCTAAAAGGGAGACAGAGACCAGTGAATTATCATCTTCACCGTCTTCATCTAGTTCTGATGAATCACCCTCAGATGAGATAAATCCACCAGTGAAGGACACAAGTGGAGATAAAGATGATACGACACCTGCATCCTCTGTAATTGAACAAAACCAAAAAAAGATGCTGACAGAAAGAGGCCGAATTCCAGTTCGCCGACCTCCTCCTAAGGGGGGACACCTGCGTCGGCCCATTCTAAATGTGGGGCTTCTTCAGAACCGAACTCGCCTAAATTTGAGGCCCTTGAGTCGCCCCTCTCAACCTTTAAATCCTGACACAGAGACACAGACAGAGCAGGAGCTTACCACTCCATTATCTGCCGCTTCATCTCTTCTTTCCGAAGGCTCTTATCCATCTGATACAGGGCCAGTAAGAGATAGTAATGAAGGTGAAACTGGGGCAAGAATCTCCACAACAAATTTGTCCACAGAGTCTGATCAAACTCTCAGAGTTAGTGGAGTGCCTTCCTCACATCGCCCTAAAGTTGGTTTGTTCCGTCGGACACAACCACACGGTGGATCTTTCCAAAACAGAACACGCACAAACCTGAGACCGCCTCAGCATCCACAAAGAGGTCTTGTACGCAAACCTTTGCCAACCAGAAAGCTAAATACAGGCAGCATCATTACTGTTGTAAATCAAAATAGCCAACTGGGAGAGGATGGTACCCATGAAAACCAATCAGGAGAGCAGGATGTCCATAGGCTTAACCAAGGAGGCCAAATTAGACAACCAGGAGGACGAGAAGCTGCTGAAGTAACTCCAAATGGCCAGATAGATACTACTGTCAGACCACAGACTAATGAGTTAAGAAGCAGAGACAATGCTCTTGTCCAAACAGAAGAAACTGGCACTGCACATTCTGACAATAATGAAGAGAGTGTTGATGCTGGTGAAAATATTAGAACGACAATTCGAGGTAGACCAACCCTCAAACAAACTTCCTCACATTCAAGAGCCCCGGCACCAGTCACACTTCCAAAGAGACAACCGCCAACAAGAACTGTTACAGGACTGCGTAAAACCCAGGTGAGGCAATACATCAGTGGCAGCCAAAAGGAAGACGATCCAAAAACAAGTAACACTGAACAGACAGAAAGTGCTGCATCAGATATTTCTTCTTCTGGAGTCATGAGAGAACCTCTGGACTTTGTGGATGTGACGAACCGGACCTCTGACGGATTTACACTAGTATGGGACTCACCAGAAGGGAAGTACAAAAACTTTGTTGTGACTAGGACAGAAAAAGATAAAGGCCCAAAGCAGAAGAAAAGGAAGGAAGAGGCAGAAGAAGACTCTGATCAAGATGGTGGCACTGAAGTGGAAAAAGGGAAGCACCAACCTAACAAGGAACCCGAATCAGAAAATGGAGGTACTGACAACATTAACAGAATCCCTGAAGGTTTTGTCTCTCAGGTTCCAAAGATCCAAAGCAGTACAACAACCAAACCAACAGAAAGTGACAAAATCGTCAAGAAAGTGCTTCCTGGTTCAGCTCGTTCCTTCCAGTTTGAGGATCTGCCACCACAGACCGATTACACCTTGACCTTGCTCGGAAAGGGTCCTGGTCTTCTGTCCAGACTGCACAAGCTTGTCATCAGCACAGGTACAAGCCATTGTGACAGTAGAACAACATGAATCACTACTGTACAATGCTGCAACATTACTGTCAATGTTGTCAAGTGTTAATCAGAAAACTCGCTCTTTTTCCTCTCGATCTTGTACCTTCGTCAGTCTCAATCTATTCAGAATAAAAACACTGTTTATGCCCTTTACCTTTACTGCACTTCATGTCGAACTGATTAAAACACATCTTCAATTGTTAACTAATCATCACTCGTCTTGAGTGTGACTGGACATATTTACCCACTAAATGCTTCCTCCATTTTAATCTGAAGACCTCAAGAGCTGTGATGCTCTTGAAAACTGTAAGCTTGTGATTTACAGTTTCAGATTTGTCATCATGTCACGTGTTTCTCATTTAAATGTTGTTTCAGTGATGTGTAACTTGTTTTTGTCGTTTGTTATCAGTATATGTTGATTAAGAATTTGTGTTTTATGTTAATGCTGTATTTGTGCACTCATTCTTCAGCTTCCATTCTCATATTCATGCATTACATTGCAATAATGAACACCCTCGCCACCACATAGACAGTTTTTTGATGTCAAACCTCAGATGTGCTTTGACGCAGTTAGTTGTGGTTAAATCATGCACTAAGTACAATTTTTAAGCTGTCATGGCTTTTAGTTGTGTGTTTACATTAACATTAGTCACCTTTAGCATATTGGCAGACAACAAAACATAGTGTGAAGACTCTATGAAAATTCTCAGCAGTCCTCCATCTACACTGCTGGAAATAAAAACAAGAGGCAGAAGCAAGTCAAGTAAAGTTTCTGGTTTCAGATGTAAGAGGAGGAGGCAGCTTCCAGGTTGAATCCTGTGATTCCTACTGTTTTTAAAATGGCAGAACACAGATTTTGTAATTTATTTAAGACTACAACAACATGTTTACTGTTTTCCAGAGACAGAAAATCAAGATGCACTGAGTTCCACCTTTTCGCAGTTCTCTCAGTTTGCAGAAGATTTCGGCACATTCAATAGTTGCTTTGTTAAATACCCTTACAGAAAGAATGCCAGATACTGTACTTGGTGATAGAGTAAGGTAAATTTGAGTGTCATCTGCATATTGAAGATGTTGTTTAGTATAATTTGGCAAAATAAAGGCATGTAAATGTCAACAGAAGTGGACCAAGGATAGAGCCTTGAGCAACTTCACACATTATATTGGTCCACCATAGCTTATACAGCCAGTTTTCCAGTCTGTCCTGTCATATTTACGGTCAACTGAGTTGACATCAAACACAACAGTAACAAAATAACACCACTCATTCATTCTCAACTGCTCTGGTCTTCTCTCATTCAGGGTAAGCTAACAGCCAGCTTCACTGACACCCCTTCATCTCTCACCCAAACCAGGGTACGTTTGGTCTGTCTTCACCTTTTATATTCAATGCAAAATTTAACTCTTATTTCAAGAGAAATACATCAATTGCCAAATTTGGATATATTTTCTGGGTGTGAAAAACAGTGTGTGTCAGTACTGTACAAGTTGACAGTGTGGTACACTCTGTGTTTGACTTTACATAAAAGGAGTCTAATTCTTGGAAAATGTTGTACAAAATGTTAAAAACTGTTCAATTTAGTCACTATTGCCCAGCCTAATTTTTAATAGTTCAATGCATTTGTTTTTAGAAGGAAAACCATTCCAGCTACTGACTCTTTAAATGTGAATCTTTACTTCCAGCTCTTATGATTTTGTCAAATTAATATCTGAATGTATTTGTGTTCATTCACCCTTAATAATCTCGTAAATTTGTCTCCTTTTCTACCTTTGTTTCGATGTCTTTTATTCCTGCCTTGCTTTCATTTTCAGGTTTGATCGAGCAGCTAACTACTGTGTTAAAATGTCGTCATTCTCTCCTTTGCTGCTGCCCAGGATCCATCGTTGTGACACTATATGTCTGTATATGATTTGTATACTGTATATATGTTTGCACTGTACATATATACATAAACGCATTGGGGCACTAATAGCAAATGTGTGGATGAATAAATAATAATGTAAACACTGTTTTCACTCCTTCAGTGGCTGTTTTTGTGTTTTTCATGAAGCCCAGTTATTCTTTTCTCTTCATGAAATTTTAATTTCCTTTGTTCTCCTTTTATTTCTGTTTTCTGAGTTTCCCCTTTTCTTTTACCTTCACCTCTAATTCACTTTCCTTCCGTCCTTCTTTGCTTTCATTCACCTCTCTCGTATTATTTCAACCCTCAGGCCCGGAGCCTCCGTCCAACATCATCTTCAGTAAGGTGACAGAAAACTCTCTGACGGTATCGTGGACCAAACCAAAGAGTCCCGTCAATGGTTTTAAAGTCACATACACCCACACAGATGACGGTGAGAATATTTTATTTTAGTTTTTTGCGTATGAAATACCTGTTTGCACTCCAGAGATGACCATAAATTAGGAAAAAAAAGACCGCCGTAGTGTCTTAGCTGCATCCTTAGCTAAGAAGCACAAGAAATCTTATTTTCAGGTGATTATATACTAATAAAGACAGCTATGTACGGCAAATTCAATTACTGCCAGTTGATCCCCTAAATTTTACATACTAAACCTTTAAGTACTGACTTTCAGTTATCCAAAATACAAAAATTCCACTTAGTGGTTGGAGGACACACAAAAACAGGACAAATATCTACAAAAGTAGTTCCTACAGTTAACGTCATACCTTCTCATACTGACTTTGCCTAAATCTTACTGTCAACTCCCAGTCAGATTTTAGCCACGATTGAACACTTTTGTTCTTGAAACAACGTTAAAAAAACATTCAACAGCCCAAGAAACATGTACAGTCACTTTTGAACCCTTTCAGCTACCCCCGGGCTCTAAGCGATCAAAGAGTTTTGTTTCTCACACATTGTTTTTATATGGATGTTACACAAACTAAAGCTGCAATTTGACATTTCAAATTGGTATCCATTTCTTGATTTCAAACTGAGACAGGAGAACAAAAATATGCAGCTGTCCAAATATTTCTGATCTAAACTGAAAAACAAGTGTGCGGACATTCAGCCAAACTCCACCGCCAACTCACGGAGGATGTCAATTTTCAGTTTTCTAATCTAATGTAAGATCAAACCCCCCATCAGTCAGACACAGAACATGATTGAATGCTAACCCTCAGCGTCGTGCCTGTAGGTGAGCCGGTCTCAGTGACCGTGGACTCTGAGGACTCCAACCTCGGTCTGTCACAGCTCTTACCTGGTTCTTCCTACGAGGTCACAGTCATCTCCACCCTCGGCCTAGACGAGAGCGATCCGATCAAAGACTTTGTCATGACACGTGAGTTCTGCAGGTTTCTTTCCCTTTTCATGCTTTTATTGAGTTTAACTTAGCTGGTCCTAAGTGCAGTGCAGGTCTAGTTCCTTAACAAAGTGGCTAAGGCATCATTGCATTATATTTTTATCACTGTGGGCTTATTTTTCACTGCAATATAAAGTCCTGCATCTCTATGGAAACAGCACAACCGTGACAAGAAGTAGAGGTAACTCAAAAATGTCTTCTGTGCAGTATGACACAGTTATAATGCCACAGATCATAAAAATGCGAAACAAAAGTTACATTTCTTTACTTACTTTCATTATTTGTCACTACTGCAACAACGTTAGATTTTTAATTTTTTAGTTTTCGGTGAAATCTGGTTCGAGTGAAAAGTTTATTTTTGGCATATTTTTAATTGAGACATGATTTTGATGAAATGTGACAATCTTAAGCTTAAATTTGCTCAAGTGTCCTGATGGGCGTCACACGAGTCCAGTGATTCCTTCTGTTTTTACAGTTCCTGGCGCTGATAAATTGCGATTTTCTGAAAGCAACATGTCTTTCAAACCAGTCAGTGTCATTTGGGGGTCAGAGGGTTGATCCACACCCAGTTTCTTTCCTGTTTTCCTTTTGTATATGAACAACCATGAATAATCTTGTATGGCTTTTTGTTTCTTACTGCATAAAAAAAAAAAAAACACAAATCACATGTTTGGTAATGTCTGCAGCAGGTGCTGGTTCTGGAAAGGATCTGTGCATTGTTAGGTTTCCTCTAAGGAGACTCGGCCTGGATTTGTTTCAGAGCTCTGTGCTGTTTCAAAAGACACTTCAGATGACTTCCATCACAAACACAAACCCCTGTGTTCTGAATTCTCCCCGACAGTGCTTTATGGACATTTTTTGGATCTTTTGCACATCATTAGTGTTGTTCAGCAGTTTTATTCAGATGTTTTTCTCTGTTTAAATGTGTTTGTCTCTCAGTTCCTGACCCGCCCACTGACATTCGGGCCGTAAACGTCACCGACAGCACGGCTTTGTTGTTGTGGCGTCCGGCGTTGGCTGCCGTTGATAAGTACGCCATTGTGTACGGCGCGGGAACAGGTAAGTTTGATTTTCATCTGTTACTGCAAACCCAGCCTGTGCATCTACAATGTCGTGTCTCCTCTTAACTCTTCATGTAGGAGCTGCAGCTTGACTCTACAGGCTGTCTGACGTCCAGCTATTATTTTTAAATGCAGTAAAAGAATCTTTTTAACAGTTGTGATCTTTTGGATGATTTACTGTTATGTCAGGATTTACTCAGTTTTGTTAAATTACAGCTAATACCTTGTAAAATCACTTTTTAAAAAGTATTAATTTAATTGTTAAGTATAGAAAACATGTCAAAACTCTAAATAATATCCACATTCAGACATTTATAAATGCTAATTCATTCTTTGACAACATTTGACTCTAAAATGATTTATTGTAATTTAAATCAGCAAAAAAAATATTAACTGTGATTTTAAAATGTTTTCTGATTGATTAATTTACAGATCATATCTCACAAAATCAGAAAAAGCATTAATTTACTCACTAACCTAAGAAACAAATCTAAACTGTAAATGATGTCGACATCAAGAAATCTGTCCTTTGATAGATTTGAATTTGTTCTTTTACAATGTGTGACTGAAAAATTTCACAGATTTACTGTATTTAAATAAGCTAAACTTATCATTCTTCTATAGGTATTTGCTGTTATTTTTACCATTTACCGAGGTTACAGGATTCCATTGTTTTTTAATGTTGTTTTCTGGCATTCTTGCTACCTTTTTTTTGTGCAATTATATTTTACTCGGTGTATGTAACCGAACAGTGATCGGGATTAATTTGCATCGATTCTGTCTACAGCACCAAACCTAAATGCTTTCATGGTTCTGAGAATATTTGTTGTTTTTGTTTGCGTAGATTCAGAGTTGAGGGTCACGGTGTCTGGAAACGCAGCCGAGCAGCAGCTCAGCGGTCTGCAGGGATCCACCACCTACACCGTCACCATCACCAGCCAGCTGGGCAGCCTGCAGAGCTCAGCAGCCACCACCAGCTTCACCACCACCGGAGGTCAACGCACACACACACACACACACACACACACACACACACACACTGGACGGACACTGACTTTCATCTTCGTAGAGCTTCCACAGATCTCTTCTGCAAATGTTTTCTTCATTTCCCCTCTGAGTGTTTCTATGTTAAACAGACACGTTTAAGTCACTGTTTGGGTTTCACTCGCGACATCGGTTTGGCGCTCGACTAAAGAAACGTAAAACTAAACAGTGCAGTGACAACATTTGAACGTCAACCAGTCAACTCCTCCGGGACTCTGCTCTTCCTCTCCAGGCTCCGGGAGGGATGGCGAAGGGCCGCGAGACCTCCAGGCCAACAATGTGACGCCTCGTACCGCCATGTTGTCCTGGAATCCCCCGTCAAGACCCGTTGATAGATACAGACTGACCTATAAGACTGAAGGTCAAGAAATGAAGGTGAGGAAAGTGACTCATTATGAAACCAAAGACAATATTTTGACTGGAATCATACCGACTCTTCGACCAGTTGATTGGCTGCTGGACAAGAAAGTCCGCTTGTTATCTGTAGATGAAGTGAATGGGCCACTCTGACTGCACTGAGTTGTTTGACTCCTGGTTTTTCCTTTATCTAATTCCTGGGTGCTGACCTTTGCTCTGACTTTTCTCACTTTGCCTCTGCCTGCCCCTCTTGTGATGCTCTTGACTTGGTTAACTTGCATCTCTTTCTGGTCTTTTTATGTCATTTTGCTGTTGAAGTTGACTCTTGATCTCCCGTTTTTCTCCTGACAGGAAGTAATTGTGGATGCCACAGTAACGCAGTACAACCTGAGCAGACTCCATCCTGGATCCAAGTACATTGTGCAGCTACAGGCAGACAGAGGAGGAAGATACACATCCGCCATCTCTACTGACTTCACCACCGGTACTTCAGTTTCCAAATGTTTTCTGCTTCCTGTCTCATGTTTTACTCACTGTTGGCTCATTTTTCACTGCAGTATAAAGTCCTGCACCTCTATGGAAACAGGGCAACCATGGCTAGAAATAGAAAGAACTCAAAAATGTCTTCTGTGCAGTATGGCACAATTATAATCCTATAAAATCATTAAAAATGAAACAACAAAAGTTCCATTTCTTTTATTAGTCGTGTTACAATGATGGAGAAAACCTAAAACAACATGTACAACATTTTTCTAAGTGTACATAGTTGCTACCAACACTGGAAAAAAATAGTAGCTCTCCATATTATTAGATATTTTACTAATTTTAAATTTTTTGGCCATATTGTCTCCTTGCTCTGTGCAAACAGTCTGCAGTTCAGCCGAAAACTCTTAGAATTTTCATCACCTGACTGTTGGTCACAGCTGAGTCACTGATGACTTCATAGTTGTAGCCTTTTTTTTGAGAGCAAACTGTAATTTTGGCAGTATTTTTTAAATAAACATATAACATAAAGTGATCTTAATGAAATATCACAATTTTAAGCTTAGTTTCGGCTCCTGTTCCTGACCAAATGGCTCGTCAGTCTCCAAATATCATATCTGTTTTGACAGTTTCTGGCTCAGATAAATAGTATAATATTTGCTATTCTCAAAAGACAACACAATTTTCAAACAGAAGGTAGCTTTTGGGGTTCAGAGGGTTAACCGATGGAGAGAGCTCCTCTTACCTTCCTCCTTCCTCCTCCCTCCTCTTCCTCCTCAGGCACCCTGAGGTTCCCCTTCCCCACCGACTGCTCTCAGGAGCTGCTGAACGGCATCTGGATGTCAGGCGAGGTGGAGATATTCCCTCAGGGCAAAACCGGGACGCCGATAATGGTTTACTGCGACATGGAGTCAGACGGCGGCGGCTGGACGGTACGAACACATCACAGACTGTCACGTTTCACTTTTACACACTAAAACGGATTCAGTTCCTCAGAAAACATTTGCAGTGGGGGTGGTCTCATATGATGGCCAGGGATGACCTCCTGTAACTGACGGAGCCTCCAACTGAAGACTCTGTTGTCTGAGCAGTAGCTTGTGTTGGACGTCTGTAGTTTTGGCCATTATGTTGAGCAGCTGCTGCTGCACCATCCTTGTCTCCAAAACAAGCTCCAGTGGCTCCAGAACACAAAGCTACACTTGAGTTTCTCAGAGTCACCAGCTGCATATAAAACTGACTAGTTTGCTGCACACATTCAAAGACGTAAGCTTCCCAGAAACTAGAGTCTGCTGTTTCTCTTCCTGTTGACGGCCTCGGTGCACTGTAAAAGGCAATCCCATGGACCTGTTCCTACCACTTACGTAAATAAATGTGCAATGTTGCAATGATTAAAAAAAAGAAACAGAAAAAATCTAATTTACTGGTTTAGACAAACCTTGTAGGTAGAATGACGTATCGTGATGGTTGGGTCAACATATTAATGTTGGTAATTGCATCAACTTAATATTGTGTGTAAATTAAACTCAATTTTCTGTATTAATTGGTTTAAAACTAAAATTTGAGCTCATTTAATTAAACTGGCTCAACTTTTTATTCACTTTGGGTGTAAGATTTTGAGTCCCTGCCTCTATCTTAGCGTACCTCGACAATTTCAGACTGGTAACTAAAAACACCTTTGATTGAACAAAAAAAAAAAAACAAATTCACCTGACTCAGTTTAGTTTATTGATTAAACATAGTTTTATTAGAAGCTGTCATAACTTTAAAAAATGAACTAAACATTATTTTTGAAGTTTGAAGTTACATTTCCAGGTCAGTCTGTTGTCGAGGTGAACATACAGACATCTGTAGTCCAACGCCACCTCCGGTTCTTCTCCCAGCTCAATCCACCTTAAATCCACAACCATCTGCTTCGCCTTGGTCACATTTAAACATGTGAACCCAACTTCCGTTCAAAACATTCATGGTTTGTTTTCCTTCGTTTGAGGTTTGACTGGTGCTCTTCTAATTATGTTGTTTCATTCTCTTCTCGTGAGTGACTGGAGATTTAGCACCGACCGCCACTTTTCTTGATAAACCACATGGATGGAGATGTAACTAAATTGTTGATTGCTGTTTATTTAGACAATTTCCTGATCATTTAGTTAAATTTACAATACATTTGGATGGAACCACTGTCCTAGAGCTGATATACAGTGTATAGGGGGGCCTTTTTTTTCTTTTTTTTTTTTTTTGCAGTATTAGTAACATCTGTTGGTCCTTGGATATTTTACTATGTACATTTCAAAATTGTTTCCATACTAGTCTCCTCTCTGTTTTGGGTAAACACAGCCTGCAGTTTAGCCAAGAAGTCACTTTACATTATAATTTGACCCTATGCCACCTGATATATCATCATTCAAAATACATACTACTGTGTATTTTGCTAACATTTGGTGGTTTGCTTTGCTGTTTTCTTGAGTGTCGGTAGGCTGTGTGGGCTCCTCATTGTATCATGGTATTGTGTTCACCCTGTTTGCACAATGGTCACTAATGAAAAAGAGTTCATAGAGTGTCCTGAGGCCTGCCAATATGAAACAATATGAATATGTGTCCATAAGCCAAGACTTACAGCAGATGATGAGCTGAAAAAAAAGAAAACAGTTCCAGCTTCAAAAAACTGACTTGAGAGAAAGAGGGTGTCTGGGACTGACACCATGGGATTCCTGTGTTGCTGTGCTTCATGTTTCAGTCCTACCAGAGAAAATTCTCCTCGGGTTAACGAGATCGTGGGGAAAATTTCCCAACGCGATGAGAGTCAAAGTGTTTCCTGTCCTCAAAAACAAATGGGGTAATCTTACAATCGGGGTCGTGTTATATTCAGACCATTTTTAACCCAACGTTGTTTACTTCCCAGTCTTTGTTGTTGTCATGCTGCAGCATATCTTGACTATCAGCTGTAGATCAGTCCCTCAGTCTCGGGTCACACTGAGGTTTTTCCCGTTTATTTACCGTCTTCAGGTCTTCCAGAGAAGGAAGGATGGCTCGGTGGATTTCTTCAGAGGATGGAAGGAGTACACCAAAGGGTTCGGAGATCTGAGTGGAGAGTTCTGGCTCGGTGAGAGAGACGCTAGGACATTTATTCATCAGCTTCCAAGATGTATTTTGAAGCATCACATTAGCGAAATAAGAGAAAAAAAAATCCTCAATTATGCCTACTTTTTTTTTTAAGAGTGAATGAGCATCATCGGACATGGAAACAGCTTTTCTACATAAGTTCTGACACGCTGAACATTTAACTCACATGACGGATCAGCTGTCTCTGAATATTTTGACGTCTCAGTCTTCAGACATCATGAAACATGGCCGATGCCACCTGACATGAAAAGTATTTCTTTCTTTCCCATTCGAAAACAATTCCTAAAGACTCCAATTTTTTTCATAGATGAACAGAGTTTTGTTTCTTCTGCAAGATTTTTTAACGAGTAGCAAATATTGTTTCCAGCTTCTTCTACTCTGTTTATTAAAGCCATGTGTAACGTAGCCTATAGCGCCACCTTCTGATGTCACTATGCAGTCTAGTTAATTCGCTCCAAAGCAATTGCTCAGAGTGTCATTTTCTTTTTTTAGATATTTTGTGACATTCAAAAAGTTCGCTTCAAATTTTTTTGAGAAATGACATTGCCCTCAACAAACATTGGTATTAAAAAATGTGAACCAATATGTCTTTAAACTTCTCCTAACAGTCTCTGGGCAGCTTTCCCTCACAGTGGGCTTATTTTTCATTGCAATATAAAGTCCTGTGCCTTTATGGAAACATCACAACTATGGCTAGAAGTGGAGAGAACACGAACATGCCTTCTGTGCAGTATAATACAGTATTAATGCCATTAATCATAAAAAAAAAGAAAAACAAAATGTTGAATTTCTTAATTATTTATTTCACAACAATGATAAAACTGGACTCAAGATGTACAACATTTTTCCAAGTGCACACATGTGTTACCAGTAATGGAAACATGGTGACTCTACCTAATATTGATGCTTGGGACATAATTTTAAGTGATTGTGTTGAAATATCACAACTTTAGGCTAAGAACTGGTTAAGCTTTCTGATGAAACAGCACATCGGGGATGAGTAGTTCAAGGACTGTCTGAAAGTTATTCTGACAATTCTTCTGTTTTCTTGCTGATTCATTGTGTACTTTTAGGGATTTCTTAAAGGACAGCATGTTGTTCAAACCCATTGGCTGACTTTGGCTCAAAAGAGGGGTTTAAAAGTCTATTAAAACACAAATACATACTCTGTCACTTAAACATGTATCAGAACGAAAAGTCTTGTGTGCTTCATTCTCAACTGATTGCATTTCATTTTGTTTTTTTCAGGCCTCGAAAGTCTCCACAACCTGACAGCAATGACCAAGATGAGTCTGCGTGTCGACCTTCGAGACGGAGACGAGTCGGTGTTCGCTCAGTATTCGACATTCGAGGTGGCCAAGAGGCACTACAAACTGACTGTGGGCGGATACACCGGCACTGCAGGTGATCCTCAGTTCTTAAAACTTGGCTGAAATACTAACTAACTTTACTCACGCACCTTATTCTTCGTCTCTCTTCTGTGTCATGGTTTCAGGTGACTCCCTGACTTACCACAACAACCGGATCTTCTCCACCAAAGACCGGGACCCGGCGCCCTTCATCACCCGCTGCGCGATGTCTTATCGAGGAGGCTGGTGGTACAAAAACTGCCACGAAGCAAATCTCAACGGCCTCTATGGAATCGATGTCAAACACCAGGTAACCTCATCTGACAAACCTGAAGCTGTTGAAGAGAAACAGCAAAAAAAAAAATACTTGGATGAAGAAATTTAATGATGGTTTTCACTTGCTTGATTGCCGGCTTGACATCAGTAAGCTTATAGAAGTCTTTGTCACGATGCTCCCTTACAAGCTAAACTCCCACAATACTCTCTGCTTGCCACCATAGAACTGCCCAAATCCTCTTGTCGCTACAGTATCAAACAGTAAGAGGCTCCACCTGGTGGTGCATCTAAGTACTACAGCTAATCTACAACACTTGAAATGTGTTATCTTAAAAAATGGTACTGGGTAAGGGCAGATACTAAATATTTGCTCAGATCTGATCAAGAGTAAAACCTTGATTGGGCCATCCCTACCTGAAATAGTGGAAACAAGTGGCCTTGTTAGGATCAGTGCTTTGTAGAATACATAAAAACGAAAAATAGAGACAAGAATATGCAAACAAGTGACATGAAATAGAGGGGTCATGAATATAAAGTGACATTTTAACAAGTTGTCATAACAGGGGTCCTGTTAATCTTTAATAATCCGTCTAAAAGCACCAATCATGCTCAGTTTTAATTATGCTAATGTGTGTGTCTCAGGGTATTATCTGGACCGCCTGGAAAGGAACAGAGGTTTCCATCCCATTCACTGAGATGAAGATGAGACCGGCAGCCTTCAGGCCTCCAGCCAGAGGATGAACGTGAGCGAGATAATGAAGATGATGATGAACTGCTAAACACACACGGGCAGCTGTGTGTCAACACACAAACACTCACACACACCGAGCAGACTGAACACACACACACACACACACACACACACATTTAAACAGGGAGCGTCGCTCTCACTTGAGAAGAGATGAAGTCGTATTTTTTCATTTGTATAGAGCTCAGTTATCAGTATGTTACTGTAGATTGTACAGGCTCTTTATTTACATTATAAAGCAGCAGCATTTTAAAGCAACGCAGCTCCCACTTCCTCTATATTTAAACACTCAGTTCACACTAATTTCACCCCCACTGGTGTTGGGCTGCACAGATGCTTTGATTTTCATTTGGGACATCTGAAACCTCCAACTAGAGGATATATAGATTCATTTTTGTGAAGGATTGACCTGATCTGAGGGGAGTATGAGCACAGCTAGACTTTTGTTCTGAACAGACAGAGATCACAAACACTAGCGGCCGGATGATGATCTGTGAGTTTATTTGATCGATTAACAAACAGCTGAACCTTAAAAACCACCAGTGGATTTGAAAGGCATGTTGTCATTTATAGAAATGCCAAGATTCCACCATTTATCAGCCAGAAACTAACAACAAAGGGAACTGTTGGATTTTCAACTTTCCAGCAGGCCTTGAAATAATCATCTGTGACGGGCCATTTTGTCAGAAAATGATCTGAATCTAGGCTTAAAATCACAATGTTCCATTAAAACCACTTTTTTTCTAGATGTCTCTTCAAAAAATGCGCCAAAAATAAACAGATTCTGTAAAAAACTGAAACTTCTGAGCTCCTCGGCGCAACCATGAAGCCGTGAGTGACTCGGCTACGATAATCAGTGGTGTGACAAAAGTTCAGCTGAACTGCAGGCTGTGTTCACGCAGAGCAGAGAGGAGACAAGTGTGGAAACAAACTGAAAAATGCAAGCAATAAAATATCTGTAGTGTGTAGATTCATTATTTCTTTCCAGTACGGGTGTCACCTGTGGCCACTTGGAAGAATGTTGTACATGTTAATTCCAGGTTTTTAATTTTTTTTTGTCAAATAAACGCTCAAAGAATTCCTTTTTTATTCTCTTTTTAATGATTAATGTCATTATAACTGTTTCATATTGCACAGAAGACATTTTTGATTTTTCTCTACTTCTAGTCATGGTTGTGCTGTTTCCATAGAGGTGCAGGACTTTATACTGCAGTAAAAAAAAAGGCCCACAGTGAAGAAACTGCTTGTCCAGAGGATTAATGACACACATGCCTGTTTGGACTTAATCAAATCTGGATCCAGTCGAGTTGGGGTGATTAATCCTGACTCGATTATTGAGTAATCGACTTTAAATCAAAATCTGTATTTGAAACAATGCAGCGAGCAAATTGGCTGCAGTTTAGGATGGATGGTGATGAAGGATGGATGATGCAACACATCCGACACAGATTTTAAACTCTCGTTTCAGTGATTTTACAAACTCATGTCGTCCTTCTTGTGTAACAGTCAAACTTTTGATTTGTGTCTCATGTGGTAACGCTGCCCTGTTTGTTTTAAGTCCATTATACAGCAGTGAATACTGAACTAAAGTTTAAATGTAAAAAACTGTACCACAAATTAATTTGCAGGATCCTCTTACCTTCTATTTCTAACCAGATAAAATGCAGGATGTCTTTATCTGATTGAAAAGTGATTCTCTGCTGAATCAGATCAGCTTGAGGACTTCAGGAGAAAAAGATGCCGGAGCGCACTGATCGATTAGAACCTTTTAACAGAACAATAGTGTCTTCATCAAGGTCAAAGTGGACAAAGACATAAAACAAATTCATATATAGTCAACCTACACCACCAGAGAACTTGTACCTTGTCCATATGGTGTTTTCTATTTGCAAAATGGTTGAGCATTTCGTCCTTGAAACTGCAGTGTACCGATGACAAATTCCGACTTGTGTGGTTTCATACATAACAAATCTAAGAAACTCAATCCCGTTAGCTTGCAGGGTGAAGCTTTCCGTGTCATTATTATTCCTCAGATTTAGTTTCAGGTTCCAACATCTAAGGCTGAATTACTCCAACATTACAACTTGCCATTATGTAGTGTTGAGTGGTTCTACAGTGTTTTGGCAGATCTGTAGCTCGATCGCTGCCATGTTTTCACTACGAAAAGCTCATCTGTGTGCTTCAGCCTTGTTTTTCTCCTGAAGCTGATGTATTCCAGCTGATGGACTAAAATTTTAACTAAGAGGCAACTTGTGCCTGTACATGAAGGTTGTTTCGTTGTTCAAACAGGACAGAATGACCGGTTTTTGTTTAGCTATTTCAGACTTGATGCAAGTAAGCAAGTTATCCAAATACCTCCTTTCGATTTCTGATCAGATCCACTTGAAATGAAACCAGTAGGTCCTGCTTGTGATTTCAGGCCTGTAAAAGCTCGACATGTCTTTGTACAGCAGCCACACTTTAACGTGGGCCTGCTTTAAAGCTCGGCAGCGCCCCCCACTGTTCACTCTGAGACACGTCGGCCGTCAGGCGAGTGAAGCAGAACTGCAGACTGTCCTCTCAGTGTTTGTCCTTTGTGTCACTTTGTCGTCTTTTTGTAAACATCTCTGTGTTTTATTGTCCTCTTCATGTACGTCGCCCCCCTGAAAGAATACAACAATAAAATGATTGAAACTGAAAACTGCACAGTTGCATTTGTGGCACTAAAAGTTTAAACACAAACTCTTCCTGGGACTGAAATCTTTCAGTCTTTGGTTATTTTTGTGGTTTCATTTTAAATGATTGTAGTTTATTTAATGTCTTTACCAATGATTAATTCTCATGTCATCTTAACACACCATTAACTGTGAATACAATTACAAGTTAAATGTTTTTTAACCAAGAATACATTCTGTTTGTCAGCCCTGAATATTGTCTGCAGGTGTCTAAAAGGTGAGATTTTGTAGCACAGACAGAGTTTTATTTGTTGATCATTATCAGTTTGGAACTAATCAAATTAAACCAACAAGCAGCAGAAACCTTAGTTAAATGAATATTTGCCATATTGTATTTTATATATATAATAAATCACAGCTTATATTCTGATTTTGTACCAAACTGAGTGGAAATATCTTGTAAGTTACAGCAAAATAGTCACTGATTTCTGCAGACGTTATTGGAAAATTTTAGGAAATTGGTAGAAAAATGTAGAATAAAACACTTCTGTTAATTCCAGTTAAATGCTAGTGTAACTTTAAGGCTGTTTTAGTGCACATCAGGTCACCTGAACATGGAAAAGTGCACCGTGGCTCGGTTGTCATCACCATCGTCTCACAGCTAAAAGGTTTGTGTCCCAGCCAGGATCTGGGGTTTTTCTGTTTGGAGTTTGCATGTTCTCCCTGTGTAGCATGGATTCTCACCAGGTTCTCCAGCCCTACTGGTGATAAAGAGATGCATAGATGCTGGATGGAGGGTTTCATGTGTAAACAAACTGTCAATGTCGGCATCCACACAGCAGGGGGCACTGCAGAGACTATCTTGCACTGTAAAAAATAAATAAATAAATAAATATTTTAGCAGCTGAACCACCACAAAATACTGTAAACTAAGCATCTCAAAAAGATAGTCATTTTTCATAGTTAAAATTAATTTTCCAGCCCTTATTTCTTCCATTTTTTTAATGTTTAGTGAAGGAAACTGACACTTAAAAAGAAATAAATTTCCTGAAATATATATAACATAAAATGTATATCAATAAATAGATTTTTGTTGTGAAAATTTCAGTAATCATGCAAAATAGCTCTAATTTAACCAACAAATCTATGTAAACTTACAGAACCAAAGCTTCTTTTACTTTTGTCACTGAGCGTATCGAACTGTAGAAATGTGTTTGCAGTACTGAACTTCAATTTAAATGTTTTCTCTATTAAATAAAAGGAAAATATCTAAGACATCAAAATGGAAATCCACAGTTGCAGGTCTTTACGTTGTTTATATGGGGCATGTAAATTACTTATTTTATTACAAAAATATAATCTGCTCAATAAAATGTGATTTTTTAACATTGTGGGAGTGAATGGAGAAGCAGTTGGAAAGACGCCTGTTTGTGTGCTCACGTCAGGATTTTTTGTTGTGTAAAATCTACGTAATTTTGAACTTTTTTCTTTGTTTCACGTTGTCTCTGTTTAAACACAGTTCTCCTTTTGGCCTCTGTATAAAAGGATATCAGGGATGTTTTTACAGCAAAGCAAAGAGGAAAAAGTCCCACTGAAGAAGACCGTTTGGTCCAAACGCAGCTGAGGTATCGAGGGAAAAGGTAATCTTGGTCTGCCGTCTTCTCCTCCATCGGCACAGATCCCAGATGTCCTTTTAAACACCTTTTGTTGTCTTAATTGGTCCCCAGGTTGCAGCTCCCACCCACCCACCTGCTCACCAGGCGGCCAATCACGTCGGCTCTCACCTGTCTTCAGAGCCGGCTGGGTTTCTTGTGTACAGGTGTGAGTGTGGGACGTCACCAGGGACAGCAGTCACATCGGAGGCCGGGGAGGTGATTGGTGGAGGAGGAGCAGGAGGAGGCACATCTCAGGTCAGCGAAACTGATCCCGAAACCACAGACACCTGGAGGACCAAGAGGGGTCAGGGGGTCCGCTGTCGGGACCAAGACTGGAGAGGGGTTTTGGAAAAGCAGGAAGACGAATATTTTAAAAAATTGGACATATCTTCTTCTTGTTTAGGGTGGTACCTAAAGGGTTCGTACAGAGCGCGCTCAGTGGAAAGCCAAGCAGAAGTCTCTAAACAACACTGGTAAGCTCTTCCTCATCTCCTCTGACTTAAATATGTCCAGTGTTAAAGTTTAGACCTGCAACTATTTTATTCAGCAACCAATCTGTCAACTATTTTCTAAATGGATTGTTTGGTTAACCACAGACACTCATGTTTTGTCTAAATCCCAAAAATGTTGACTTCATGATGGTCCAAAACAGAGGAAAACAGAAAACTTTCACATCCCAGAGGAAATCTTGTCATTTTTCCTTCAACAGAATCAATACAAACTAATGATCAGTTGTCATGTTTTTTAATAACACACATGCATCATATTTTATTTGTACTGTTGTTGCTGTTGTTGTTATTACACTGTGTACCGCCCATGGCACATTTGACAGGCTCACTTTTTGCCTTTAGGACACAAATAGAAAAAAGAAAAAACATTTTAGAGTTGATGAAGGTTGTTTACTGGGGGAAAAAATCCTCTCCCACCACTCAAATACATATTTTTCTTGTGTATTGTTATTATTATTGTTTTTTTAAAGATTTGTCAAGACTTTAGCTAATACATTTCATTGCAGAAATTGTGCAAGTTAAACATTTTTACCAGATTGGTGGGAACCCCGACAATTTCTGCACACGTTTTTGCTGTAGATTTGATTTGACATGCTTTAATTTCTTGTTTTTGCCCATGCATCTATACTCCATAACCAAAACTGTCAAAATGAAAGTGAAAACTGTTGCTAATTTATCAGAAAATCCCAAACTGACATTACTCATTCACACCACTAATCTACGAATCAATAAAGTTTGGCTCTAAGATGATGCATCTCAAAACCTTCAGAATCTCATGTAGGCATTGTGGAGGCCTAATGTTTTCTCAGATAGAAGTCATGGTCTTTCTCATTTTTTGTAACTTCGTGTCACACAAATTGTTATGTTATGGTACAGAAAGGATATACAGGTTGCTTAAATGAATAATAACAAATATTGTTTGGAGAGAGCAAAATAAGGAGTTCATTGTCTAACGGAGTGGAAAACTGTCTTGAGTTCCAAACATAAAAGCAGTCCAAGAGCATGCATTGAAAACTATGATGAAATAGCACTGCAGTACACAAAAAAAAGCTAACCAACACTTCAAACGAATCGAGCAAAATCCTGCCGATCAAATTTAAAATGCTGACTTTAGTGGTAACTCGCTCCCTGTGGCTACCAAATGTTGTGCAGCACCTTGAAATACAATCAACAAGGAAATAACACAAACAAAAAAATCTGTTTTGTCTTTTTATCATTGCTTCCACAGTGACAATAAAGAACTATTCTATTGTAAGAAGAAGTCTGTCTAAAAAGCTGCATGATGGGTGTTTATGGGCAAGTTGTTCCACTGTGTTGGCCTTTAATAAGAAATCTGTTGTTCCACATAATTTAATTCAAATAGCTGGCTGGCTTTAATACTAATTTATACACAGAGAAAAGTGATAAGACAAAAAAAATTTACAAATTAAAAAAAAAAAGTGTTTAATTGTTATTAAACTCGGACCAAACTTTGCAATAAAGAAGAAGAAGCAAAATATCAATATTATACCATTTAAATATACACACTTGGGGAAAAATAGATAGAAAATAATTCAATATGGGCTTGTAATAATAAAAATAAATAGATAAAGAGATAAAAATGAACTAAACAAATAACTGTATAGTTATGTAACTAGTAATATTTTCTATTAGAGACAAGAAGCCCATGTAAAGATGCAATAATGTACAGCTTTAATGTGACCTTTATATTTTACAGATGCTAATGTGACACCCTTGATGTTGTTGTTTATTAATAGAAACCTGAAGTGAGCCTGTCCTCTCCTGAGGACTGTGATTACAGAGAGGACTGATGATTGCCTCCTCTACCTCCGCAGGACAATCATGATGTCGCCAGACGACCAGGCCCTCGAGGACCTGTTGTACCGCAGCGACCTTGGTGACGAGGCCGAGGGGGTGGAGCCGGGTGGAGGCCCTACAGGGGCGGAGAAGAGTCCCGCTGCAGACAATGTGATTATTAAAGCTGCACCCATCCGCAGCTGTTTATATGTAGTGTTGTGTTCACTGTCTGCCTACTCAACACCTGGCGAGGGTTTAAAAATGGTGGTTACATCTCACACTCACTGTCTTGTTTACTTCACAATTACTA